CTGATCCCTTTCACTACTGTTTTGCACCATTTTTACCTTAGTGTTTATCTCGGTGGTATTTCACTGACCTAAGATGGAAGCAATGCACTGTGGAATCAGTCTCCCTTCATGTCGCTGCTTCTCAGCCTGCAAAATAGAAATGGTGATGCTTTCCTACCTGGCAGAGGTTTTAAAACCCTGACATCTCCGCACTTTTTGCTTGGAGGAAACAGAAACCGCCCAGGGTCTGGCCCTGCATTCCTGGAGTGCCACCAACTCTTGTTGGAGTTAGTGGGAGCCTGGAGCACTTCAGGCATATAAGACTGGGCCCCAAAAGTTGAATTGCCTCATGCTGAGGATTGATTATTTTCTGCTGGGCTGCTGTCTCTTTCTCTACTTGTTTTTTCCCCAAGATAGAACATTTCTCATTTTAAATGCGTCTTTCTTGTGTGCGAGTTGCTGAGCAGTTCAGACACACAACTTATCAGTTCGGAGCTACCAGTTGCATGCAGTTTTGCTTCATGCATTGTTGAAGCTGATGGGTAGATGTTCCTCTTCAGGATTTTGTTGACTCTTCCCCAACTTTCTGGCTACTTTACCCCACTGACACTAGAAGTGATGTGGCATTGAAAAGGGGGTGATAGTGCTTTCAAGGGAAGCAGCACAAAGCAGGAAAAGATTTGCAGGTACCTATTTGGGGTCATTCATGTCATTAGAGCTGGCCACAAAGTCACATTGGACCCTTCTTGTAGATATAGAAACAGCTCTTGATACTCTCAAAAAACTGCAACCACTTTAAACTCTGCTTCCATTGAAAACAGAAGATATTGTGATTACAAGGTATGCAGGTGCCAAAACCAGCCCTGCATTTCATACAACGTCTAGTAGTGCATAGCAAAGAGACCCTTTTCCTGAACAAAACTAGTTCGTTAAACCTATGCACTTATTTTTGTCTGTACATAGTAGTCGTCACGTGTCGGTGTCTCCCTCTTTCTGATTTTTTGCACTTGTTAGACAAAGACGTAGTTGATAGGTTATTCAGTAAACAGAAATCTGTGTATGTTTTAAGTATTGGAAGCTTTGCCTTGCCAAACAGAATGTGTAAACCTTTTGAAGACGTTATGCAGCTTAATATATGCATTGTAAAATAATTTTATTTTTCCTCTCTCTGTTAATTTAAAGTCTGTGCGTTCAGTGTGCAGCCTCAATGTGGCAACAAATAAGTGCTGGTATTTAACATGCTCCTGATCTTGGTGTTTCACTCACATCAGTTATCCTTTTGCAAGTACAGAGTTGCCCCGTTAAGAGGAAGACAAGTAAAGCAAAGGAATGAAGATAAAACCAACCATGACAAATGTTTCACTTAATGGATCTTATCCAAGGAATACCAATGCACAAATGCTTTCTGGTCCCTTGGTTTGCTGAGTATTTTATTGCTAGCTGTACTATTTCTTTTCAGAACAAACTATTTAATAAATGCTGTACATGTATATAACTAGGCGTCCAGCAAAACCAGAGTTCCGTTAACATGCATGATGTTGATGTTGATGCTTTCACAGTTACTATATTCCTTAGTGGTGCAGCTTTCTCCTCTAGATCAGTTAAAAAACAGCTCTTCTTCTCCCTCTCTATACATTACTCCCTCCAGTTTCAAGTACCCAAAATTGTGTTTACAATTGATACTGCCCAAGATTATTTGTTTGTATACACCCCCCCCCCCCTATTTATTACAGACCTCTGATGTAGACAGATTTAGGTAGCTGAACTGAATGTAGAGGGTCATTCTTAATGGTTTTGTTGAACTTGATTCATTTTTATTTTGGTGCAAAGGGGGAGCAATGGATCTTTACCCTGAGTTAGATCACTAGTGGACTTTATGTAAAGTACTGCTGTTGGTAAGTCAGTTCACCTAACCTCAGCCAACCAGTGCAATGATGTTGCTACTGTCAATCACAACTGTTTGATTTGTATTGTGTTTTGTGAAATTG